CTAGGTTCGTAAAACAGGTCGACCAGCTTCGTTAATTTCGTAACTGTGTGACCAAAGACTTTCCCTTTGAACACATGACAATTGCGACCTAATGTTTCCGAAATCGACACGAGTCAATGCAGAAATGTGGGCATATACAGTGAACCGAACGGGTGTTGTTTTGCGCACGTGCGACAAGTGGCGAATTTCGCGAAACGTCTGCGATGCAATAGAACTTCCACCGGAAACCACAGTCAGCACGTTGACGTGGCGCGATGTCTACAGATTTTTACCTGGTAACCTACTTCCCCTACGATCGGCTCGGCGCACACCCTATAAGGTCGAACATTCAAGTTCGACCTTGGGTGTGTGATTTGACCTACCTGATTGTTATGTGCGGTTCAATATTCACGAACAATGTTCAACATGTAAACGAAGCCAATTACAAAAATCACACACGCCCTTTCAGGGTTTTAGGGAGAGAACAACCCCCAAAAGTGCAAATATCTCGGTCGAGCCTGGCAGCTTTCACGCCATTTTTCCGTTGCCTTCACGTGCTCACAGACTCTAGTGCTTGCACTTTTCGTTTCCCCTCCACCTCATCACACTTCCTCATCGGGTTTTGAGTTGATCACGCATTGTTACTGAACTTCTTTGCTCCCGACGCAGCTACAGCGCTTCTGGCGCACTATTACTGCCCAATTTTCGCTCAGAGCATAGAAATAGGTGCTTTCAACGCAGTTTTGATTTCATTGGCCGTAGAATTGACGGGCCGATAACTCTGCTTTGGTTGACGGCCACCGAACTGTCAAACGCTAGCGTTTCGGGCATTAAAAAAAATAAAACCCTATCGGGTGGCATGTTTTCGAGGGAGCATCAACCCTAAACACTGGGCGACAAGGTACTTAGGGTTGATGCCCTTTCCAACGAGTACATTTTTTTCGATGGCTTGTTTCACAAGAGCATCAACCCAAAACACCAGTCGGAAAGTGTTTAGGGTGATACCCTTCTTAAAAGGGTAAATATACAGTTTCTAACACTAAAAACTGTTAAAAGAGTAGATTAGGTTTAGACTAGGGTTTGGGGTAGGAGGGGACTTGAGAGGAACATGTCGAGAGAGTTTAGCCAAAGAGGATGAGTTCACTATTGAGCGAGGTACAAATAGCAAACAAAGCATGCAAAGAAGGTGCACCACCAATAGGTTATAATAACTACACTACACTACAGCTACAGGCAGTTACATATATATTTCAACACTCCCCCATAACTGCCTGCAGCAGGAGTTTGTGCAGCAACACCTCTTGGATGGGTACACCACGAACAGAGAAAACAGCAACAGTAGACAAGAGCAGTGGCAACCGGTGCAGTGGTGACAGATTCTGCTACACCAACCCCTCAGCCAAGGTAGAAGCAACAGGCAAAGGTGCATGTGGCGGCAGGTCGCCTGGAGAGCGGGTGCGTGCGGCGGAACAGCAGGGCTCAACGGCAGCACCTGCCGCTCAACAGCAGAAGACAGCAGAATAAACAGCAGTTGGAGGCAGGGGCGGCAGCAGGAGGTGTCACGATAGCAGCGGGCGGCAGCTGCAGATGCCTAGCTGACTTCCGCTACCGTCTCACCCTCCCCCCCACGGCAGCACACGTGGCAGTGAGAGAGAGAGGAGGAGGGGCGGCTGCTGGCTCGGCAGAATCTCTCTCTCCACTCCTTCACAATCTCCCCCTTTCCCCTCACCCTCCCCCCGCAACCTCTTGCCCCCCTCACGGCGGACCACGCTGAAGGGAGGGGAAGGACGGGCTGCAGGCAACTCACACCCGCCACCCCCGCGGACACATCCCCCCCCCCCACGGCGGAAGCTGCGGAAGGGAAGGGGGGGGCGGCGTTAGCTGCTGCTGGCGCTGGCGTCGTCGCTGGCGCTCGCGCAGGTGCTGGCGACGGGCGCTGGTGCTGGCGCACACGACCGTGCGCGGGTGCGCACGGTCGTACGCAGCTGCGCGCAGCAATGCGCGGCCGTACGCAGCTGCGCGCGGCTGCTGCTGTGTTCGTGACAGAACGGGGCGGGGCAGGCAATGCGCGCGACGAGCAGGGGCAACGGGCGCGACGGGGAGACGAAACGAGGCCGCATCTGACGCCGTCGCGCAGCTCGCCGCCGAGACCGTTTTGTCGGTCGCGACCGTTGCAACCGTCGTAACTACGGTCGCGACGGGGGGCGTGACGAGCGCCATGAGCGGGGGGATACGTGGTGGGCCCATGGGGAAAAAAAAAATAGGTCTTAGGACGACCTAGCTCTTAATACCATGTTAAAAGAGTAGATTAGGTTTAGACTAGGGTTTGGGGTAGGAGGGGACTTGAGAGGAACATGTCGAGAGAGTTTAGCCAAAGAGGATGAGTTCACTATTGAGCGAGGTACAAATAGCAAACAAAGCATGCAAAGAAGGTGCACCACCAATAGGTTATAATAACTACACTACACTACAGCTACAGGCAGTTACATATATATTTCAACAAAAACATTGAAATCGTTACTGTTCGCTGTGTTAGTATCCATAGGTTTGGTTTGTATTTATGTGCCATGTGTGGACCAATGAAATCAAAACTGCATTGAAAGCACCTGTTTCTGCGCTCTGAGCTAAAACAGGGCAGTAACAGTGCGCCAGAAGCACTGTAGCTGCTCTGGGAGCGAAGAAGTTCAGTAACAGTGCGTGATCTGTCAGAGGTCCACTGGGGATCCCCGATGATCCTAGGGAAGGGTTACAGGCACGTCGGCCTGGGGGGTTATGGGCGCACTCACCCGCTATATAAACAAGCCCTTTTATCCCAGTGGTTAGTGGCTGGGATTCTGACATGGTATCAGAGCGAAGGTCTCGGGTTCGAATCCCGGTGTGTGCACTTCGGGCATCCCAGTGCGGGGGGGTGTCAGAGGTCCACTGGGGATCCCCGATGATCCTAGGGAAGGGTTACAGGCACGTCGGCCTGGGGGTTATGGGCGCACTCACCCGCTATATAAACAAGCCCTTTTATCCCAGTGGTTAGTGGCTGGGATTCTGACATGATCAACTCAAAACCCCTTCCTCATCACCTCATCACTTTTGCGGCCATTTTCAGGTGCATGCAGCTTAGTCGAGGCGCGTTATTCAGGTGCATGCCAGGTTGCGTACACTTTTCTCAGGTTAAACAATTTCTCCCGTAAATGAATACGCAGTTCAAGATTCGATAAAAATTGACACAAAAGGTCTGAAATAGATGGAATTTCGGAATACGCAAATCGGAATCGGGATGATTGGCTTTCGATGCTGCATTTTCTGACGTAACTCAGTGCAATGATTGCATTTCTGCCCAGTTTCTACGCAATTTTTTGCTTCGCACCAAATCTTTTTGAACGGATTGTAATGCTAAATCGTTTGTACTGTTGGCGCAGGTGGCGGACGCTTCGCGGGTCAAATCAGCAAACTCTAGTGGGACGTGCATTGCTTGAAAAGGGTAGTCCGAAACACGATAAATATGCCCGAGTGTTAAGAGTGAGTTACCCCTACCGCTATTAAGGATATATCGTATGTTACATGTATATTTAATGCCACGTAATTAAGGCCGTTGAATACCACCTATTTCAATATGCACGTACGGCAAACTTAGTTTGGTAGAGGCAAAATATACAAACACTCACGAAGGGTTTGCTGATTTGCCATGCGCAGCGTCCGTCATCTGCGTCAAAAGTACAACAGATCTAGCATTAGATTCGTTCGAAATGAGTTGGTGCAAAGCAGAAATTTGCGTATAAATTGGACAAAATGCAATCATTGCACTGAGTTACGTCAGAAAATGCAGCATCGAGAGCCAACCATTCCGATTCCAATTTGCGTAGCCCGAAATTGCATCTATTTCAGACCTTTTGTGCCAATTTTAATCGAATCTTGAACTGCGTGTTAATTTACGAGAGACATTTTTTAACCTGAGAAAAGTGTAAGCAACCTGGCATGCACCTGAATAACGCGCCTCGACTAAGCTGCATGCACCTGAAAATGGCCGTCACTTTTGGAAGTGGCAGGTGGCACTTTTCGCTCTCCCAAGTTCGAAGTGGGGACAGCCCAGGAAGGCAACCAATCCCTTCGCAATTTACCAGGGGCCAACATCATAGACATGCAATATAGTATGGTAACCCTATTCGATTGTATGCAAAACCGTCGATACCCCAGTTCTGCTGCGCAAGTTTGTCTGGTTCCGCCACTCAAAACACTGTGTAACAGCAGACGCAGGACAATAAAGGAAAATATCGGTTGCGTTGACGATTTCGTATCTTCGTGGTTCTTACCGCGCCCCGTTCGGCGCCTAACAAATTTTCCTCCGGGCTACTATTTTCCGCTAAACGCGCACGATACATTTTACGAAAAATCCATTGGAATGAAACTACACGGGGTCCATTTTGAAAGAATATATTGCACCCAATAAATTGCTACCTGCATTTGTTAGGGCAGGGCTGAAAAACAATAAAACCCCTAGCGACCTGGACGCATTTCTGGGAGGGATCAACCCTAAACACGGGAAAGGACATAGTTTTAGGGTTGATGCCTCCCTGACGCATCCTTTCCGATTGGGTTTTATTATTTTCTTGGCCCGAAAAAATCACGTTTTAGTGCAAAGTCAAACGCGGTAGTCATAAGCTACAAATTAAAAACGAACGCGCTATTAAGACAGCTTGTCAATAACTCCAAAACTGAGGTAAGACGGTTTTGCATACCATTGCATAGGGTTACCAGACTAAGTTGCATGTCTATGATGTTGGCCCATTTACCAGATTTCCCAACCGCCACGTGGCACTCTACTTCTCTAGTACCACCTCCCAACGCGAACGCGTGTTGTCAGACGAGGACGGATGCTGGGATGCGCATCACAAGAAGCCGAAGCCGTAGACCCGCAGGCTTCTCACCCCACCGACCGTCCCGCTCCTGCACCCCGCGCGTGTCCCGTTCAAGCGACACATTTGAGAATCCTAAAAGTCGCTCCTGCGACGCGCAAGAGGCGGTCAGAAATGGCTGTGGATGCGTATTGGCGCTCAGTAGTCCGTCACCAATGGCTGCCGATAGCTATTGGCGGGTTCGTCGTGCTGCTGCTCGTGTGCGCACCGCTGCTGCTCGAGCCGACTCGCCAGCTCCCCATCATGCAAGTACCGCCCGATCCCGCCGCTGCCTCCGCCACACCGCTCAACCACTCCCCAGAACCAGGAGCTATGGCGCTTGCGTCAGGGCCGGAATCAGGAGCTCTCGCGGGTGACATCGCCATCCCGCAGGTGCGCGTTGCAAGCAATGCACTCCACGTGTGATGCACCCCACTCCCTCCATGCCAGCTGTGCGCTGCTCATCTTTGCGCCATGACCCCGCGCCGCGAACTGCTCGCGCGCCGCGAAGTAGCCGAGCTAAGTAGACGAGCTAAGGAGCCGCGATAAGTAGACGAGCTAAGGAGCCGCGATAAGTAGACGAGCTAAGTAGACGAGCTAAGGAGCCGCGATAAGTAGCCCGAGCTGGGGGATCAGATTTTTCCATCCGATTCGCGTGCTACATGGCCGAGCGAGCCAATCCGCTTGCCGTTGTGCCTGGCAGGCAGGCAGCGGCGAGTCGGATCTGAGCAGAGCGGACAATCCCGAGGGGATCCCGCGACTCGAGGGCAGGGAATCAACGCGACTGCCAGTCGATGCGTCTCAACACATCTGCTGGACCTCAGGTACACCCTCCCCCCTCAGGCCCTCAGGTACACCCTCCCCCTCAGCCCCTCAGGTACACCCTCCCCTCTCAGGCCCTCAGGTTCTACTACTCGTGCCCCCCGCTGCTCCCTCCCAACGCTGCTCGCTCCCCCCGCTGCTCCCTCCCAACGCTGCTCGCTCCCCCCGCTGCTCCCTCCCAACGCTGCTCGCTCCCCCCGCTGCTCCCTCCCAACACTGCTCGCTCCCCCCGCTGCTCCCTCCCAACGCTGCTCGCTCCCCCCGCTGCTCCCTCCCAACGCTGCTCGCTCCCCCCGCTGCTCCCTCCCAACGCTGCTCGCTCCCCCCGCTGCTCCCTCCCAACGCTGCTCGCTCCCCCCGCTGCTCCCTCCCGACGCTGCTCGCTCCCCCCGCTGCTCCCTCCCAACGCTGCTCGCTCCCCCCGCTGCTCGCTCCCCCCGCTGCTCCCTCCCAACGCTGCTCGCTCCCCCCGCTGCTCCCTCCCAACGCTGCTCGCTCCCCCCGCTGCTCCCTCCCAACGCTGCTCGCTCCCCCCGCTGCTCCCTCCCAACGCTGCTCGCTCCCCCCGCTGCTCCCTCCCAACGCTGCTCGCTCCCCCCGCTGCTCCCTCCCAACGCTGCTCGCTCCCCCCGCTGCTCCCTCCCAACGCTGCTCGCTCCCCCCGCTGCTCCCTCCCAACGCTGCTCGCTCCCCCCGCTGCTCCCTCCCAACGCTGCTCGCTCCCCCCGCTGCTCCCTCCCAACGCTGCTCGCTCCCCCCGCTGCTCCCTCCCAACGCTGCTCGCTCCCCCCGCTGCTCCCTCCCAACGCTGCTCGTCCCCCCCGCTGCTCCCTCCCAACGCTGCTCGCTCCCCCCGCTGCTCCCTCCCAACGCTGCTCGCTCCCCCCGCTGCTCCCTCCCAACGCTGCTCGCTCCCCCCGCTGCTCCCTCCCAACGCTGCTCGTCCCCCCCCGCTGCTCCCTCCCAACGCTGCTCGCTCCCCCCGCTGCTCCCTCCCAACGCTGCTCGCTCCCCCCGCTGCTCCCTCCCAACGCTGCTCGCTCCCCCCGCTGCTTCCCTCCCAACGCTGCTCGCTCCCCCCCCGCTGCTCCCTCCCGACGCTGCTCGCTCCCCCCCGCTGCTCCCTCCCAACGCTGCTCGCTCCCCCCGCTGCTCGCTCCCCCCGCTGCTCCCTCCCAACGCTGCTCGCTCCCCCCGCTGCTGCTCCCTCCCAACGCTGCTCGCTCCCCCCGCTGCTCCCTCCCAACGCTGCTCGCTCCCCCCCGCTGCTCCCTCCCAACGCTGCTCGCTCCCCCCGCTGCTCCCTCCCAACGCTGCTCGCTCCCCCCGCTGCTCCCCTCCCAACGCTGCTCGCTCCCCCCGCTGCTCCCTCCCAACGCTGCTCGCTCCCCCCGCTGCTCCCTCCCAACGCTGCTCGCTCCCCCCGCTGCTCCCTCCCAACGCTGCTCGCTCCCCCCGCTGCTCCCTCCCAACGCTGCTCGCTCCCCCCGCTGCTCCCTCCCAACGCTGCTCGCTCCCCCCGCTGCTCCCTCCCAACGCTGCTCGTCCCCCCCCGCTGCTCCCTCCCAACGCTGCTCGCTCCCCCCCGCTGCTCCCTCCCAACGCTGCTCGCTCCCCCCGCTGCTCCCTCCCAACGCTGCTCGCTCCCCCCGCTGCTCCCTCCCAACGCTGCTCGTCCCCCCCCCGCTGCTCCCTCCCAACGCTGCTCGCTCCCCCCGCTGCTCCCTCCCAACGCTGCTCGCTCCCCCCACTGCTCCCTCCCAACGCTGCTCGTCCCCCCGCTGCTCCCTCCCAACGCTGCTCGCTCCCCCCGCTGCTCCCTCCCAACGCTGCTCGCTCCCCCCGCTGCTCCCTCCCAACGCTGCTCGCTCCCCCCGCTGCTCCCTCCCAACGCTGCTCGCTCCCCCCGCTGCTCCCTCCCAACGCTGCTCTCGCTCCCCCCGCTGCTCCCTCCCAACGCTGCTCGCTCCCCCCGCTGCTCCCTCCCAACGCTGCTCGCTCCCCCCCGCTGCTCCCTCCCAACGCTGCTCGCTCCCCCCCGCTGCTCCCTCCCAACGCTGCTCGTCCCCCCGCTGCTCCCTCCCAACGCTGCTCGCTCCCCCCCCGCTGCTCCCTCCCAACGCTGCTCGCTCCCCCCGCTGCTCCCTCCCAACGCTGCTCGTCCCCCCCCCCTGCAAGAAGCAGCGAGGGCGAGGCAGGCAGGTGAGGCAGGAGGATATGAATCACCCGTTCTGTGTGGCCCCGATCCCTCGCATGGCCCATTGCCGTCGCCAGCACCGCCAGCAGCAGCAGCGGCAGCACCACGGCGAGTAGCAGCAGCAGCTTTGCAAGGGGCAGGGGCAGTTGGGAGAGAGGTGCTAAGTGTATTCTCTCCAGTGTGCCCCCAAACCACTCAGCCCCTATTTTTGTCACAGATGCCCTGGTCAGCCGCACCACACGCGCAGTAGCAGCAGCAGCAGCAGAAGGAGGGGGAGTGGCAGCAGCAGCAGCAGCAGCAGCTGCCTCCTTGGTGCTTCTCAGGGAAATTGCGTGCAGCAGAGCAGAGGCAGGCGTAGTTGGGGTTCTAAGAGTACCCATGTGACCTGACCCCCAACTCCTCAACTCCAATCCTTTGCAGATGCTCTGCTCAGCCACACCTCACCAGGAGAAGCAGCAACCGCAGCAGCCCCCTCAGAAGGCGCAGCAGCCCCAGCAGCAGCAGCAGCAGCAGCAGAAGGGGAGTGGTGGTGGGTGGCAGGGGATGCAGTGGGTGCGTGCAGGGGAGGAGTGCAGCATACACGTGTGGGTCATGCCGCCTGCTCACTGGATCCCGCCCTTGGGGTCCAATCGGAGTCACGCGGACAACAACGGCAACAACAGCAGCAGCAGCAATGAGAGCAGTTGGTTGACGGACGACCTGACTCTGACTCTGGAGGGCCCGGCCTTGGGCACTGGGGACGTGCAGTGCACCGACCCCCCTGCCTGCTCGCACTTCCTCATCTCCTACCGCCTCTGGGACGTCGGAGATTATAGGTACGCTACATGTGCGCTGTCCCACTCTCGCCCTTTTCCCTGCCAATCCACTAGCCCCTCACTTCATGCACTTGTCCTTGTTGGCAACGTTGTCTTTCTGCAAACTGGACTGGGATGCTCTCTTCCTTTCTCGCCACTCCAATAGTGGCCTTTCCCACCCTTCCCCACTCACACTTTCGTACTCACCCTTTCCACCCGCCTCACCCCCTCATAGTCCCTATTTCTACCCGCTCACCCCCCTGCTCTCCCCATCCCAGTGCCACTCTCGCCGTGGGTTGTTCCAAACTCAACTTCTCTCCTCACTTCGTTTCTCACATTTCTAAGTGTTTTCTCGCTCCCCCCTTTCCCACTCACCCTTTCGCACTCACCCTTTCCCACTCACCCTTTCCCACTCACCCTTTCCCACTCACCCTTTCCCACTCACCCTTTCCCACTCACCCTTTCCCACTCACCCTTTCCCACTCACCCTTTCCCACTCACCCTTTCCCACTCACCCTTTCCCACTCACCCTTTCCCACTCACCCTTTCCCACTCACCCTTCCACTCACCCTTTCCCACTCACCCTTTCCCACTCACCCTTTCCCACTCACCCTTTCCCACTCACCCTTTCCCACTCACCCTTTCCCACTCACCCTTTCCCACTCACCCTTTCCCACTCACCCTTTCCCACTCACCCTTTCCCACTCACCCTTTCCCACTCACCCTTTCCCACTCACCCTTTCCCACTCACCCTTTCCCACTCACTCAACCTTCCCACTCACCCCTTTCCCACTCACCTTTCCCACTCACCCTTTCCCACTCACCCTTTCCCACTCACCCTTCCCACTCACCCTTTCCCACTCACCCTTTCCCACTCACCCTTTCCCACTCACCCTTTCCCGCACCCTTCCTTCCCACTCACCCTTTCCACTCACCCTTTCCCCACCACACCCTTTCCCACTCACCCTTCCCCACACCACCTTTCCCACTCACCCTTCCCACTCACCCTTTCCCACTCACCCTTTCCCACTCACCCTTCCCACTCACCCTTTCCCACTCACCCTTTCCCACTCACCCTTTCCCACTCACCCTTTCCCACTCACCCTTTCCCACTCACCCTTTCCCACTCACCCTTTCCCACTCACCCTTTCCCACTCACCCTTTCCCACTCACCCTTTCCCACTCACCCTTTCCCACTCACCCTTTCCCACTCACCCTTTCCCACTCACCCTTTCCCACTCACCCTTTCCCACTCACCCCTTTCCCCCACTCACCCTTTCCCACTCACCCTTTCCCACTCACCCTTCCCACTCACCCTTCCCACTCACCCTTTCCCACTCACCCTTTCGTTCGCACTCAAACCCTTTCCCACTCACCCTTTCCCACTCACCCTTTCCCACTCACCCTTTCCCACTCACCCTTTCCCACTCACCCTTTCCCACTCACCCTTTCCCACTCACCCTTTCCCACTCACCCTTTCCCACTCACCCTTTCCCACTCACCCTTTCCCACTCACCCTTTCCCACTCACACCTTCCCACCACTCACCCTTTCCCACTCACCCTTTCCCACTCACCCTTTCCCACTCACCCTTTCCCACTCACCCTTTCCCACTCACCCTTCCCACTCACCCCTTTCCCACTCACCCTTTCCCACTCACCCTTTCCCACTCACCCTTTCCCACTCACCCCCCGTCCCACTCACCCTTTCCCACTCACCCTTTCCCACTCACCCTTTCCCACTCACCCTTTCCCACTCACCCTTTCCCACTCACCCTTTCCCACTCACCCTTTCCCACTCACCCTTTCCCACTCACCCTTTCCCACTCACCCTTTCCCACTCACCCTTTCCCACTCACCCTTTCCCACTCACCCTTTCCCACTCACCCTTTCCCACTCACCCTTTCCCACTCACCCTTTCCTTCCCACCACCCTTTCCCACTCACCCTTTCCCACTCACCCTTTCCCACTCACCCTTTCCCACTCACCCTTCCCACTCACCCTTTCCCACTCACCCTTTCCCACTCACCCTTTCCCACTCACCCTTTCCCACACACCTTTCCCACTCACCCTTTCCCACTCACCCTTTCCCACTCACCCTTTCCCACTCACCCTTTCCCACTCACCCTTTCCCACTCACCCTTTCCCACTCACCCTTTCCCACTCACCCTTTCCCACTCACCCTTTCCCACTCACCCTTTCCCACTCACCCTTTCCCACTCACCCTTTCCCACTCACCCTTTCCCACTCACCCTTTCCCACTCACCCTTTCCCACTCACATCATCTCTCCGCTCTCCTCACCCCCCTGCTCTCCCCATTCCAGTGCCACTCTCTCTGTGGGTTGTTTAAACCTCAACTTCTCTCCTGACTTTGCCGCCCATCTCAACTCCACCTTCCGCCATGACCTTGCCACGTGGAGTCTCTCTATTGGCTGGCCTGAACAATCAGCTTCTGGGGGCGTTTTTGCATCTGCAGGCACAGATGGTGCTGCTGGTAACGGTGCTGCCTCCCTCAGCAGACTAGCCACGCCCTGCACACCTGGATCCATCCCCGGTCGCTGGAAGAGGGACAGCACTGGCAATTACACGTGAGTGATCCCCTCTCACCCACTGCCACCCCATCTCACCCTGCTGTCACCCCATCTCACCCTGCTGTCACCCCATCTCACCCTGCTGTCACCCCATCTCACCCTGTCACCCCATCTCACCCTGCTCTCACCCCATCTCACCCTGCTCTCACCCCATCTCACCCTGCTCTCACCCCATCTCACCCTGCTCAACACACTCCCTCCCCTCTATCACGTCCCTTATTTTTTTGAGAAATTTCAAAAAACACACTCCCTCCCCTCTATCACCTCCCTCTCACTCCCTCCCTCTCTATCACCTCCCTTCATTTGTTGAGAATTCTCAAAGAACACACTCCCTCCCCTCTATCACCTCCCTTCATTTTTTGAGAATTCTCAAAGAACACACTCCCTCCCCTCTATCACCTCCCCTCCCATCCACCCCCGCCCCTCCAGCTGGACGTTCTTCCCCTGTGCGCCGCCATTGTCGCCTCCCAGCCGTTGGATCTCGGATCTACGGCGCAAGGGCATAGAGGAGATCAACATAGTGGGGAACTCGCACCAGAGGGGGCTGGCCAACCACCTGCACTTCCTGCTCTCAGGGGACACGGGGCCCTTATTGCCCGATCCCCGCTTCAACTACACCTTCCGCTCCACCAATGCACAAGGGGAGACGTTCAGAATCAACTGGTATTGGGTTGATGGCATCTACCGCAACGGGGAGTTTGGCTGCGGGTGAGTGTGCGGAGGTGGTTGGGTGTGACCATGGGTGGGTGTGACCATGGGTGGGTGTGACCATGGGTGGGTGTGACCGTGAAGTGATGCCATCTCAAGTTTCTTCTCCCACCTCCCCCACCTCTGAAACCCTTGGGCATTCCTTATCCTGCACCTCATCACAGCCCATCATCCACAAGCATTGGGAGTGTGGAGCTGGAGTGTGGAGCTGGGATACAGGATCCTAAACCCCTCCTCTTCCTCTTCATTCCCACACCTCCACATTCGCCTCAGCTGACGTCACTGACTGCTATAAGAACAATCATTAATAATCCTAAACCCCTCCTCTTCCCCTCCACCTTCCGCCCTTTCCTGCCCTTCCCCTTCCCTCGAACACCCCGACAGTGACAGAGGCAAAACCAGCAACCACTCCAACTCATTCCCAGACGTCCTCTCTCGCACTGCTGACGTCACCATCATGAACGCCGGCTCCTGGACAAATAGGTTCTGCGGAGAGCCAATCAAAGCCTTTCGCGCCCACCTCCCAGAGTTCCTCAACTGGGGGTTGCAGTTCGCCGCCCAAAATGGCAAGCCGCTGGTGCTGCGGACGGCGACGCCCCTCCCGAATGCAGGCCACCACTGCGCGCATTATACGAGCGCGTCTGTCGGCCCGTCCACCAACCTGGGCATCATGGCACTCAATCGAATCATGCGCAGCATGGCTGCTGGAAAGGGTGCTGAAAAGGGTTCTGGGAACAGTGACGGAGAGAATTCCCAATCCCAGCTGTCGCTGCCCTCAGTGCCGGTTTTCGACGGGTGGATGATTGAAATGCCTCACTATCTGGGCAATTGCCCTTATGGAAACCGGCATTACACGTGTTTTTATGCACCGCACTTCTGGAGTAGAGAACCGAATGCGGCTACTGGGGTGGTAGGGGAGGCTGTAGTTAGTGGGCTCATACATTTCATGCTCCACCAGTTGTGAAGTTGAGACATACTTGTACAACAGACACTTGCTGAGATTAAATTCACTATTTCAGTAGTTCAATACCGTAATCTCCCGGCAAGAAGACCCCCCCCCCACGTACAAGCCCCTGGGTCCTTTATCCGGACCAAGGGTCTTTTATTATGTCAGTCCTGTAGAGGACCCGTGTTTTGACCCCATTTCATATAAGACCCCCCTTCTTCCCCGTTTTTTTCAAAAATTCCAATATTTATTAACTTAAAACACCAAACTTGAACTATTTGTCAGAATGAAGAATGGATGATGCATTGATGTTGGTTGGGGTACATATAGCTAACCCTAAGTTTTGTACCTCCTAAGACAAACCTCACTATAGGCTACAACATTTGACACACCCCCATAGCCTAAGTGAGGGGTGTCTAGCAGAACCAAACGAGTACGGTCACAAGACCAGTCCAAGAAACAAAGCTCAGGGTGGATCACAACGTCACCACACAGTCTGAGCACAAACAACAGTGGCCACAAGGCCAGTCCAAGAAGTAACAGAGATATATAGAAAGCAAAGTAAACAGTACACTCAAGTCTAAGCAACACGAGAACCAGTGTCAACAAGGCCTAACTGCACACAGCACCTCTGGTGGTCACAAGGCGGAAGCGCCTTGGTGAAGATGTCTGCAGTGTTGGCCTCTGACTCCACAAACTCAAAGCGAGCCTGTCCACGCCTCTGCAACTCTCGCAGAAGAAAGTACCTGACGTGAATGTGCTTCACTCTGCTCTCCAGTCGTGGCTCTCGACAAAGGAGAATAGACGCCTTGTTGTCAGTGAACAAGGTCGGTGCAGAGCTCGGCCGCTCACCAAGGTCGGTGAGCAAGAAGGTCAACCAACGCAGCTCCTGTGCCGCCATGGCACCAGCGTAGATCTCAGCCTCAGCTGTAGAGGTCGAGACCGAAGAGGAGCGCGTGGACCGCCAAGAAACAGCTCCAGAACCCAGGCTGAAACAGTACCCCTGAGTAGACCTGTGAGTCTCAGCGTCGTCAGCGTAAGAGGAGTCACAGTGACCAGTAAGTACGACAGACTGCTGTCCTCCAAGAACTAGCCCCACGCCTGATGTCGTCGCTAGGTACTTCGCCACCCTCACAGCTGCTGTCCAGTGAACAGGACGGTGTCTCCCTGGCGCAACAAAGCGCGCAAGAACGCTGAGAGGGAAGGCGAGGTCCGGGCGAGTACAAGTCATCAGGTACATGAGGCAACCCACAAGCTCTGCGTAGGGACCACTAGGCTCGAACGGCTCGTCAGGAAAGGGTCCAGTGAGTCTGTGGTCAACAGCAAGAGGTGTGCGCTGTACTGTGGAGTGCTGAAGCCCGAACCGCTGAAGGACCTGCTGCACCATGTGCGACTGTGAAAGTGTAATGGTGCGAGCAGCTCTGTCCCTGGTGATCTGCAGGCCAAGGTAGTGGCGCAGCTCACCAAGATCAGTGCAGGTGTGTCTCTTCTGCAGTTCGGACTTCACGTGTGCCAAAGCAACCCTGTCAGGGGTGGCGAAAACAAGGTCGTCAACGTAGACCAGAACAAAGAAAGGTGTGGGGCCACGACGCACGAACAGCGACGGGTCAGCAGAAGACGGCTGGAACCCAAGGTCAGACAGGGTAGAACGCAGGGTGTCGTGCCACTCACGAGGAGCCTGACGAAGACCGTAAACCGGTCGCCTCAGCCTCCACTGGGTCCCAGGAGGGAAAGAATCAGTGAAGGCAGAGGGACGACGCAACCAGACCTCCTCGTGAAGACTGCCCTGAAGGAAAGCAGTAGAGAAGTCGAGAGAGTGTAACTCGTAGTCTCTCTGTGCTGCTACGTGTAGTAACACCCGAAGAGTGGTCATCTTCGGGGTGGGCGCGAAGGTCTGAAAGAAGTCAACTCCCTCGCGCTGACTGAAACCTCTAGCCACGTAGCGCGCCTTGAAGACCGGAGGAGATCCCGGTGGCCGCTTCACCCTGTAGATCCACATGCCGTCGACTACGTTCGCCCCAGGAGGGGGAACCTCGTCGACGTAGGTGCCTGTGGATCTGTAGGAGGCCATCTCTGCGTCCATGGCAGCTCTCCACTGAGAGGCCCAAGGCCCTGACACTGCCTCAGCGTAAGTGCGAGGAGTCGGAATGTCAAGGGCGTCGGGGTCACCCTCAGGGGCGAGGAGCATGGCACAGAGATGAGGGGAAGCGGCCGCCAGGAACTCTAGCTCAAACTGCCTGTCCTCTAGGGCGTCACTGCCAAGGGCAGACACACCCCCGACGGCCAGAGGACTGGAAGGAGGAGCAGCCACAAGAGCGGTGGCGAAGTCAAGGCGGCGGGTAGAGGCAAACTCAGTGACTGCGGCAGTAAGAGCGGACACAGAGGACACAGAGGCACGAGGGTGGGTAACAAGAGAGGCGAGAACACGAGAGAGAACAGGACGGTACGTGCGGTAGTAGTCAGTGACAGGAGAAGGAAGCGACACAGTGAGGGCCGACTCAGGAGGAGACGGAAGCACAGACGGAGACGGACGAGGTGGACGAGAACAAAGGAAGGCTGTACGAAGGTCAGTGAAGGGAACAGGAGACGAGGGACGAGCACGAGGGGAGCGACGAGAGGCCCAAGTCTGAGAAGGAGGAGGAGACAACGAAGACTGAGGACGAGGGAAAACAGCGGGAGAGGGGTCAGGAGGAGGAAGCGGAGGACCAGAGACGGGAGGAGAGGGGGAGGAGGAAGGAGAGGGAGACGGGAGACCAAGGGTCCGAAGACCCGAGACAGGAGGAGGAGACGGCAGCAGCTGCTGCTGCTGCTGCTGCTGCGGCTGCTGCGGCTGCTGCTGCTCCAGCGGCTGCTGCCTCTGCTGCTGCTCCTGCTGCTGCTCCTGCTGCTGTCGCTCCTGCTCCTCGAGCCGCTGCAACTCTCTCTCCTCTCTCTCCAACTCCAGCTGCTCCTCACGAGCACGGCGAACACGAGCCTGGAACCTGGTCGGGTAGGGGTGGGGGGAAGGAGTAGTGTCCGGGGCAGCGGCAGCCCCAGAGTCGACCTCCGAAGCACCAAGCACACCACCCCCAGAGGCAGCACCAACACCAGCTCCAGACCCAGGCTCTCCAGAAACCGAAGGGACACCCTCACCCCCAGACGCAGCACCCCCAGACTCCGCACCAGCACCCCCAGACTCCGCACGACCAGTACCAGCCCCCGGAAGACAAGAGTCCTCTGCAACCCGCGGCTCAGCTCCAACTCCAGCACCCCCAGAACCAGAGACCTGTACAGGGACAGTCGCAGGACCAACCTCTCGAGAGGGAGCACCTGCAGGAGGCGGCGAGGAAGACTGTGGGGAGGGAGGCTGTACAGGGGGGGCTACCGAAGGGGGAGGGCTAGCCTGAGACACACCAGACGGGGCTGGACCAGGGGGGGGAGGCTGTACCGGGGGAGCAGGCGGGGGAGCGGCGGTCAGGAAGAGAGGGGGGGGAGGGACCGGGAGACCTCGACTGGGGTACCTGACGTAGTAGGGGGTGGACTCCTTGAAACGAACGTCACGGGAGTCAAAGAACCGGTGAGAGGGAGGGTGGTAAAAGGTGAAGTCAGAGGAGTCCTCAGGGAAACCAAGGAAGACACAAGGAACGGCGCGAGGCGAGAGCTTGTCCGCGGAGGTGTCGCGGACAAGAGCCAAGCACCCCCAGACACGAAACCTCGACGCGACACCAGGGGACCCTGTCCAAAGACTGGTCGGTGAAGCCTCCGGCCGAGAGACGCGTGGCCAGAGGTTCAGCTGGTGCGCGGCGTACCTGACCGCGTATGGCCACAGGAAATGGGGGGCACGGGCGTGAGTCAAGGAGGTGCGGGCAATCTCCATGACCAGGCCTATGCGACGCTCAGCAACCCCATTCTGCTGTGGGGACTCCGGAAGCGTCCAGGACTGACGAATGCCCTGTTCGCGACAGAATCCAGCGAGAATGCCGGAGCGAAACTCGCCCCCGCGGTCGGAGTGGAGACAGCTGACACGACGACCACGAGCGTCCTGGGTGGTAAGCAACCACCTGATCAGCGTAGAAGTCACCTCAGACTTCCTCGCCAGGGGGAACACTGTGGTGTAGCGGGAGTAGTCGTCAACGACCACCAAAAAGAAACGCTCACGCTCAGGGCCAGGGCGAGGAGAGGGGCCCCAGACGTCCAAGTGCAGCGTCTCAAAAGGCTCGGTGGCCGGACGAAGGGAGGAGGAGTGAGGGGTGGCGCGCAGCCTACCCTCGACGCAAGGACCGCACGGTGGTGCAAGGGACGGCGGCAGCGACGGCAAGACACGCGGGAGACCTAAGACAAGACGCTGACGAGACATAGCGCGAAGACGAGGAGGAGAAGGGTGCCCCAGCCGGTGGTGCCACAAAACGGTGGGGTGGGCAAGCGACCGACAGGAGCACGACGCAGCGACCGGACTAGACGGAGGAACCTGACAAGACACAGCTACCTGGGGGGACGGAGCAACCTGGTGAGACGCGAGGACTCGAACGGGGGGCAAAACAGGGGCCGGGGGCAGGAGGGGCGGCTGTGGCTGCGGCTGCGGCTGCTGCTGCCGCTGCTGCTGCGGCTGCTGCTGCTGCTGCAGTCGCTGCTGAGGGCGCGGGCCAGTGTGAAGAGTGTAGAGACCGGAGCCCGGCTCAGCAGCAAAAGTGGCGAGGGGCTGGTAAGAGTCCCCGTCAACACACACCGCAGTCTCTCCAGAAGGCTCAAACCACACACCCACGTGCTGACTCACGAGGGGTCGCACGCCCACCAAGTTCCGGGAGAACGAGGGGACGTGAAACCCAGTGAGAGACCCAGAAGGAGCAGCCGGACACGGCAAGGTGGTAGTGTGACGCGCGGTGACTGGTCCCGAAGTGGGATCAGCCAGCGCCACAGAAACAGGCGCAGGAAGAGGCGTAAGTGTCGTGCTGTCACGAAAGAAGCAGTGAGAGGCTCCAGAGTCCAGCGTGAACGACAGCGAACCGTCCTCTGAGGTAGCCGCTGGACTAGAGTCTACA